AACACATGTTGTTGTGAGATACTGTCACCACCACCCCCCCCCCGGAACTGTGTGGCACTTCTGTGTGGCAGTTGTGAGTCTTTTTGGCACCCAACCTCCCTATCCGTTTTCACTTTTGTCCCAGCGACTTGTGAGCGTTCAGACCATTATTGTTGTGTCTTGTAATTGAAGTACAAGCTGAACTTTGTGTCTTGTTTGAATCCAGTTTGACATTGTTGAATATGTATCTTGCATTCAACACAATGCTGAATGGCAAGAAATCTCCAACCTATTGATTGCTTCAACTGCAGAAGATTGCGTCTTGGCCCTCCTTCCCTCTGTGCCGTGATTGGGAAGGCCAGCTGCACTCACTGACCTCTTCTGCCCAGACCATGTTATTCTATTTTCACCAGTTGACTTGCTGTTGTGTGAGCTGTGCCAAGCACAGCCCTCTGCATCAGCAGTCTCAGTGCTCACACCAACCATGAAAGACATGGGTGGGGAACAAAGATAGGGCTGTAGGGCATTGTATTTGTGATGATGTACTGGACAGGGTGAATAGGACACCTTGGGTTACAAAATGGCAGTACAGTAGTGGCTAGTACAGTAATGGCTAGTACACGTATCTGTGAGCAGTGGTGCAAAATTTGTGAGACCTAAACTGGTGAGCATGCCCAGGATGTTGATTCTTGTGGGTAGGACATGCACATCGTCAATACAACAACACAGCCCTCACAGTATGAATTGGAACTGATGCCTATGTGGAGCAATTTGTGCTCAGCTGTTTTGTGTTGGCCCCACATTTGCCTTCTTGTTCAATGATGTAAACATAGCCGTGTGTTTTTCCTGATCAGCATTCATGTTGTGGCTTGTGCCTGTGTAGGTCAAATTTCACAGCAGCAGACTGCCGTCAGTGCAAGTTCAAGAACAGCAAACTCTTTGGGGCGTATTTCATCAAGAGTGTGCTTTTTGAGGCCGATTTTGAGAATGCCGACCTCAGCGACGTGCTAATGGACAGGGCGGTCTTGGTGAAGTCCAATCTTAAGAACGCTGTTTTGCAGCGTGCAGTCCTCACTCGCAGTGACCTCACAGATGCTGTTGTTGAGGGGGCTGATTTCAGCAACGCCCTTGTAGACAGGGTGCAGCAGATGGCCCTGTGCAAGTACGCTGGTGGGAAGAACTCTGTGACGGGCGCCGATACAAGGAAGAGCTTGGGCTGCTCATCTTCAAGGAGATACAAGGAGATGTCCCCAAGCAGCCCAGAAGGCACCCAGGTGTCTGAGGCTGCAAAGAAGGAGTTCACCAAGACGATTCCAAAGTACAGAGAGTGAGGGAAGTGGCATTGCGACAGAGGTCCAGGTTAGGAGACGGGGACCTTGAGAATGGGTTTTGGACACAAGGGGCAAGGGACTGGTTGGTGCCTGTTTTTGATGGACCAGGTGCTTCGCTGTGGCCCAGAAACCTGGTGGCAGGTGTGCCCAAGGGCCGCTCAGCAAACGAGCAGCGGTTTTTGCGATTCTTTTGAGGTGTGCTTTGCACCCAGAAATATGTACCTTGCAAGTTTTGGTAAAAGGTTTGCATGTGTCTGCTTGGCATCAGCAGCGAAATCTCGCTGGTATAGCCGCTGTCCACTTAAACAATTGTTTTGCCCTCAAGGAAAGAAGAGTTGCTGAGCCAGTGTCCGCCTTACAGCTTGGGATACGCGGCCCCCCTGGTGGACAAAGGTGGTTTGGGTGTCACCGATTGCCAGCCACAGCCCTGCAAACTTCCTTGCTGGCAGTGGGCTGGCTGCTTGCAGGCTGCCCTTCCATGTGCAAGTTACTTCAGCATGTGCAACTAGACGGCATTCTGTCCGTTGCTGCTCTCGATGTGCTACGGGCAAGCGCATTGTTGCGGAATGTTTCTGCTTTGCAGATGTTTTCAGGGCTCGACACTCCAAACAGGAATACTGGAATGTTCACAGTCAGGTCAAGGCGAGCACAGGTCAGGTCAAGGCGAGCAGTGGCCTCTGGTGCGGTTCGGGATACAGTGTCCGCTTTAAGCCACATAGGCAGTCTCATTTTCATACAGAAGCTGGTGTTGCTGCCATGGCGGGTAATCCAATGACCTCGAAGGAGAACACCTGGTCGTTGGGCATGTGACGCAATGCAATAATGTGCCGGCAAAGTCGAGATTAAACACTGACTTGATGAAGAACGACCTAGTTGTGGGAACGAACGTTGAATGCTGGAAAGGTTGACGAGCCGGGAAGCACAGGCAGCGCATCCCAGGAGCTGTGGCGGGGTGTAGCAATGTCAGTGTGAACATCCACATGTCCACGCATTTCCACGCATTCCACAGTCCATGCATTTCCGAGAAACGCTGACAAACTGGGAAATCGCCTGTCCACGGACTGGTTAAATTCCATGGTGCACAAAGCATGGTAAGGGAAGCGGTTTCTTCTCGTAGATCAACAGCCCCGTTACCAATGTAGGTCGGAGGGCATCAATGATTTCAAAACCATTCCCCACACTCATCAGGGGGTAGGGGTTGGTGGGCTGCATGTGGACTCGCGCCCACACGGCACATGGCACCCGGTGACTTTAGGCCCACCGGCTGAGGTGGCCATTCCACGGCGTGTCGTCGCCTATGGGCGGCTCGATCTAGGACGAGTCGCCTGGATGTAGTCGTCAATTCCCCGTTCCAGACACCCGCCCTCCGGGACGTCGCCCTGCACCTCCGCGCCGCCTTCTCCTCACAACTCGTCCGGCGGGGGCGCCATGGGCCGCGCGCTGCTCCCCGCACTGTGGGCACTCTTCTCCGCGGCGGTCGTCTGCGGGGTGGTTGGCTACCCAGTCTATCAGGTACCACGCCAAAGTGCGGACTCGCCCAAAGCATGGCGTCCGCAGGCGCGACGGCAGCTGCGACGCGGCAATTAGGCGGCGAGCCGGCTTCGCGTCCGGGCTGCGCGCCGCGACATGGAATTCGCAGTGAAAACGGAATCCCTGGGCTTTGGAATGACCGGGGAACGAACTTGGGCGCTACTGACATTGGGGTCAGCAAAACCTGGTGCTGCTTGCGGCGCGTGGTGGAGAAGCCACTGGTTCTTTCTCCCAAGGGGGGAGGAGCGGCCCCTGACGCGGGCTGGCCGCGTGTCCAGGTTGGGAACAAGGAGGCGGCGCTGATCCTGTACGGGCAAGAGAACGGAACGGACGTCAGCTCGCAGGCGGCAATGGCGACATACGGGGAGCACCCCTATGGGCGTCAGCTTTCGTAAGCGCACTCAGCGGCACTGACCTCGCCTTTCGTTTCCCAATTCTGTGGGCAAATTTTTGTGAGTCGGCGCAAGTGGAGTGCTGCTCGGTGAGATGGAGACTCATTCGTCCCAGCCGTGTGCTGCGTAAGCGAGTATGAACATTCATCATCATCATTCATTATTGCGTGTGGACGCTCACGAGATGCATGAGCTGCGCTTCGCGAGTCGCCAACCGTCAGCGCACCGTTGGTGTCGCTGATGCCATGGTGGGGCCCTCAGGCTGGTTGAGGTTTGAATAGACAAGTCGCGTTTGGTGGCCTTCAGACGATGGGTGAGTTCAAATTCTTAGGGAAGGATGTCCAAGATGGTCAAGGAAATCCATGGTACTGTTCCTATCATGCAGTTGGCTTCGCGGTTTTCAACAGCCGAGTAGTGCCCATTTGCAGTCGGGGCCTTCCAGGAATTACCAGGCACCATCTTTCCCGCTTTCAGGCCGCGCCTCAGGTTGTCTGCGCCTAAAGCGCTCCCTTGTCCCCTCCAGGTGCCATGCGGTGTACCACAACGAAGACCTGTTTAATTGCGGCCCCCAGGACTGCGGATATGCCTGCGCCCCCCCTCAGGTGTACCCCGCTACGGAGGAACGCACGTCCGGATCTGGGCTACGTGCCACGTAGGCGTCCATTGTCTGAGAACAGTGCAACCCTTGGTGCAGCATTGACGAATACAAAAATACCCACACATATGGGAACATCAACGGCGTCTTACGGTGGTCACCAATGGTTTGGTCCTAAACAGTCCGTGCCTCATCTCTGGCATTTGCTTGCTTCCGGTTTGTGGCCCCAACGTCCCACTGAACTGTGCACGACTGGACGCTTTGCACCCGACGCATGCCTGATGGGAGGTGCTTGCATTTTAGGGATTCAAGAACGACGCCACCCAAGAGCATCTCAGGAGCTACTGCATGTTTCTGAAGATGACGGGTAAAACATATAGTCGGGATGTACGGTATTGTGTGAGCCGAGAGTCCAGAAAATGCGCCACGCCAATGCGCTAACGTCTGGACCATTAATCTATTTCACTGCCGTGCGATTTCGCTTTGTAGAGTCCAGGGCGCCTAGCGTTGGAGTGCTTGTAACACAGAAGGCACCAGAAGCCGACGTGCGGCTCCTCCGTTGTGTGAAAGCGCCTTGTAGTGGGGACAAGAATATTCCCTGGGGAGTTCTGCCTATGATGGGCAAATTCATTCATTTCGCTTTGCACAGCTCTGTCGATATATTTGAAACGCTAGCTGCTCGATCCCACACGCAGCCTCTAGCGTCGCCAGCGCTCATGGAATGCCCCTCGGACGATGGCGCTAGGAAGTGATTCAATTTTGGCAACTTCCGTCGACAAAAAATGCGCCAAACACGCTCTTCAATATCAAGCAACTTTGCCAAGCTGCATCCAGGTTATGATGCAGAGCACCCGTGGAACACGGCACACAAGACGCGCTTGGTTCCATTAGCCAATTTGCAACGTTCAGAGCATGCATGCCTATTCAGTGGATTTTCAAAGTTTCTGGCTAAAGCTGCTCATCTGTTTGTTCTCAGAATCTTCTCGGTGCTTCACTCACGAACAATCTCTGCATGCGCAGCAGCTAGGAGCTAGCGCGGTGAGTTCAGGTCTGAAAGGGTAGAGCACTGTATCCGATACAATGGCTGATCCACATTCGAGTTGAACACATGGCAGATGGAAAATTTGCAGCATTGGCCCATGCCAAGTCCGTTGCGTGGCTCAGAGTATACTCTGCCGCTACGTAGCTGCAGAGCAGGGAAATTTCGCCATCTATTGGTATTGGACTGTGCCCCCAATTCGCTGGCGACAGCCCAAGTGTCCAGAATACTACTGAAGTCGAAAAGTATTCGCATTTCCAGAAAATGACAAACAGTTTCAACGAAACTGCAATTGAAACTGTTGTAGTTGGACCGCTGCTGTTGCAGTGCTGCATCCAATTGCAGTATTTTATCCCGGGGGCTGCATGCCGAAACGACATGAAATTCGATTATCACATAAGCATTCGGTGTTGCTCGCTGCAAGGTGCATGACCGGCATTGTCGATTTACAGTGACCCGAGGCGTTCCGCGCAGGTTATTCTTGTGGACGACAGGAGCCCACTGCGCGTCCCAACTTACCCAGCTATAGAGGGAGAAGTGAGGTATGGCTACCTCCGCCAGCGAGAACAAGGCCCCCACTTATTTCTGTGTTCGGCGCTGTGCATCTACTTCAAACGAAACTGTGCTGTAAGCCGCTGAAGAGGGAGCTAAGGTGCACATGAGCATCTCAGATCCACTCTGATGCCGTTGATCTGGATTGGAGGCCAACGGCAACGCATCGGTTGTCTGAGTAAGGTTGCCAATGCGCACAAATGAAACGCAGCGTTGCTTGGATTTTTGCATTGAAGGGAGCTGCAAAGCTTTGGTTTTCTGTACAATGCGCTGTTCTGAAATGCGCAGCATTTGATGTATTCTCTTCACACGGGCACCTCCAGCCTGGCACCAAAACAATCAGTGCACTGCTGAGATGTGGTCCACTGTGACTGATTGGCCCCACTGTTTCCATTTCAACAGCGAGCAAGCCAATGTCAGCATCCCCGTCCTGTCCACCATGAGATCGGAGGCCGTAAATCGTGTAATCGAGGCAGCCACTCTCGCATCGTCGGATGGCGGATCGTACCCAATGATTGACATTGATTTCAGGAGCGTCGTTCCACAGTCCGCACAGGTACCTCTTTCCCCAAATTTGCGATAGCGCTGATTGCCTTGAAGAAACATTTCTCAATGGACGTTAAGGAACAATAGTGGCACAAATTTTGACCTGGGTGTCACTTTTCTGGAACATCCGTGTTCACCGCATTTATTGGGGATGCAAATTCTCTAGCACGAGGGAAAAAGGGCCAAACAGCACATGTTCAAACCTGCACAAAGTTTACGGGTTTGGTTTCTTTTTTGCGTTTTCTTAGCGTACAGAACTTTGATGAAATGTGTTTCACGAGTGTTCGAAAAAGTGCTATTTGGTCCTCTTTTTGCTAGTGTAGTGAGCTGAGCTTGTAGGCGCCAAAGCAGCAAATTAACAGAGACGTCCCTGCTGGTTTGGTATAATTTCCATAGCATCGCGCAGCTGCTGATGAGAGGTCAGCGAACCCACCTCAATTGCAGTTTACTGATGTCGAGCCAACGGCCGACGACAGTGTATCGCCGTTGAACATGATAGCGCGCAACGACGGGCCGATGTCCTCATCTAACAATTTTGGCATAGGTGAATGTTTGAAGCCCGTTCTGCCCACTGCAGCCAACCTATGTACAAGAACGCGGGCCCGATACTTTTTTTACAACAAAAGGGCCGCTGTCATTCTCAGAAACAAATACATATTTACAAGGTTCCGTGGCTTCAAAACTTCCAATTCTGAGCATTTACCCTGGAAAACAACAGATCCGAAAGGCTCCACACTGCTTCCCCTTGCGTAGGGGAATCAGTGCAGCTTGTTCACTGGGGCGATGCCTGTCAAGCGGTGTCCAGCGCCCCGGAGGTCATGCATGTTGCTTATTAAAAATACGTAAATACAGCGTAAGTACAGTCATTTGTACATAAAGACAGTACATACAGATTTACGGATCACGGGGAGTGGCAGCCAGACGCGCTGGAGTGCATGGAAAACGATTTTTTGTTCAGCGACGTCGTTGAACTTGCTGTGCTCGAGGTGGAAGTTATGTTGCGTACGCTCGATTGGGCGGAGTACTGATCATTGTACGCGACTTTCATTGTGTAATGTGGTGTCTGCAGAAACGTCAATACAGCCGCAATAGCAGCCCCTGTTGTTAATTTACGTTTTCACGTGTACAAAGGTATACGCAAAGATGAACAACAAGCCTGCCAGAGGTCCGCAAGAGGACACTTTGCAATTTCATTTTCCATGATTAGAATCGCGCTATCGACACATATCGGGAATGGAAGGCTGTTTTCTCAAAAATATCTGTTTGGCTGAAGGTTCAAGTGGAGCTGTTCGCCACTGAGCGAGATTACTGCGAAGCCAGCATGGGCAGCTACTGCAGGAGGAAATTGAACTTCATTAAAGTGAGCTAACTAGAGGCATAACATAAATTGTATTTCTCTGGGTGCAAGATAAACATTTGGGCATGGCTTGAATTACTTTGGCGAATTTTCAAAAGCACCAGCATGCCGAATACTGTTGTGCCCACTTGCCATCCCTCCTTGCAGCACATTCTATGATTTGGGAACGTAATTATGTTGCAACTTACAAGTTGCAGCAAAGCTTGCGGCATACGGGATCAGCAAGCTAACACGCGCAAGAGCATGGAATATTACAAGTCCACAGTCCCACTGACTGATAAAACCATTCATGGACGATATTTCCTGAAAACTGGGCCCGGCTGTAACACAATTACTCAACAAGCTTACAACAATTATGCCTGACTGTGAGCTCCCGGTTTTCTCCCTCGTGCTGCTTACACATTTCTTGTCTATTAACGGCTGATTGCTGCCATGGTCAAGAGATAAGGCACCATATGGTCAATGATACAGAATTCTTTTAGATGATTGCAGGGTGGATGGTGCGGCTCGCAAACCAAGGCGCGTTGATATTCAATTACCGCAGTCTGGTGGTGTCCTGCCAGTGGACAAGCGAGTACTGCGACCTCCACTGCACAAACCACCGCCGCTATTGTGTACGCCGGCCTCCTTTAGGTGTTGCTGGCGTCACTGGATCCGACATCGTTAAGGTGAGGGAACCATCGTTCATACGCGGAAACCCAAAATGATTCAGCGATTTCAATGGGTATTTGTGGAAATTCAGTAGCCCCATTCCCATCCCAAAATCCCCCAGACCCGGCCGAGGCCCCAAGCTTTCCGCCGTCTTTACGCTGGACACATTGCTTATCGCCAGGTATAAATACCGATCAGGTGCTGTCATGCACGGCTTGAATACTCTATCGAGTGCTTCCAATCATTGTTCGATTTCGATTTCGATTATCGATTTCACGTGCCAATCTCTCTCCGAAGTGGAGCTTTCCATCGCCGCCACCCACATCAAATTGGCCCGCCTCCAGCTAGAGCTTCAAAGACCAAGGCAGCGCTTCTGGAATTACTTCCGGGAGAAATATTCCATGCCAACAGCTTGTATGCGCATGTCCTGCCTGCACCTAGAAGCGCTTATGTCAGATAACATTTAGGCTGCATTCGACCAACAGCTTACGCATTTCTTGGCGGCTGCGACTTGAGTGTCACGGAGGGAGCACTGCATGCCTGTCTGACAGTGGCCTGCTCGATTTCCGCCCAGCACATGGCCTTTTCCGAGTGCGTGTCGAAGCTGGGCGTCCTGTCTGGCCACCCGTCCTTTTGGTGGGACTTCAAGCTCCTGGACGACGAGCAGTGCACCATCCCCAACCACACTTTTACCACCGAGTGCTCCGAGTCCGCGGTGCGCTCCCTTGGGGGCAACACATTGCTGCACCCCGGGGGCGGCATCCAGGCCATTCGAACCTGTGCCGGCGAGTTTGACAGCGACGGCGAGAACGTGATACTGGAGGATTCCCTGCAGGTGGGGATGGCACAGATAAGCACAATCCACGGATCAAAGTCCACATGCAGTATCTCCTGGGGGAATGTGTATATGGACATATTGGGCCACACCGTGAGGTCGTGTTTGAAGGATATTCTTAAGGTTCTGATCTGCGCATTTTCAGTGCAGCGTCGCCGAGAGCGAGTATGAATTGTCAGTTCCGAAGAATGAAATGTGCAGGTGTGTCCGCTGCACATCATGTGGTTGAGAAATGTGCAGAAGTTATGAAAAGCTCAGCACCATTCGGGAGGCTCGTTCTGCCATTTGTTTCGTGATAGTGACTTTTCTCAGTGCTGGGCATGCAAATAACATATTTGATCACATGGCGTGGAGCACTGGAATCAGTATCTTGTATAGATGGCATAAATAGGTGTTTGGATTTCATAGAATGTACGGATTGAAAACACTTGGTGCATTGTAGCGAATTTTACGATGTTCCCAGCAGCACAGCAGAACATCTCTCCCACGGACGGTTAAAGCCAAGTTTGCCCAACATTTTGGGTTGCCTACTGCACAGGAGGAATGGGCTCAGAATGAAATTCTGATATATCCAGGATATATATAGTGGGCCACACCGTGAGGTCGTGTTTGAAGGATATTCTTAAGGTTCTGATCTGCGCATTTTCAGTGCAGATATAGTTATTAAATAACTCCAATTAGGGTTGAATCCCTGTAAAGTAGATTTGAACGACTGGGTTGAATTCCTGACTCAAGGATCTTTCAACAAAGCTCAGTGGAAATTTTTGTTCACCATAAGCCTGATTACTTCCTGAGGGAGTATTGCTGGGGTAGCCTGATGCTTAACGAATTTCAAAAGAACGAATGGTATCAGGTGCATCAACGGCAAAGTAATTCCGGTCATTCCTGAAAAAACTGCAACTTCGCTGCGTAGGATATCGTAACGTGAACTTTGGAACACGCTAACAGAACTTGTTTGTTCAGGACGCGTCCAGAACGAATCAAACGGAGGTCGTCTTTGACCCAACGTACATCATTAATGGTGTTCAATACAGGGGGCGATGGACCAGGGGAGGTACGCGAGATACGTTCTTGCAACATCTGGCATTGTCAAACCTAAAACAGAATAGTTTCCCACCGCGCCCCCACCCCATCCCCCAGCCCATCACCGGGGGAGGAAGGAAGGGGCAGCCACCACCACTTGTTGCAGGATACTCCGCCACGTGCTGGAATGCACGCATACCAGCCTGCCAAAGTGTGCACATTGGACGGCCGCGATGCCAACCCGAGCGTGTGGCGCTGTGGAAATGAATACGGGAATTCCAAGAGCCAATCATTGGCAAACAGTGCATTCGTAACCTTCAGATTTCTGTGTTGACATTTACCGTTGTGCTGCGCAGCATGGTTTACTGCAGTATGCGCTGGGTATCCAGACGGCGAGATGCCCGCTCTGTGTTCGGATCCAGAGGTTGCGTATGACGACTGCTCCCCTGGGGAGTATGGAGCCATCGCGTGCGCCAAAAAGTGAGTTGGGCATGCACACTGTATTCTCAAGAAGCCTGTGATTGCTTGGCACGAATTGCATTGGGCACTGTGACAGGTGATTTTGGCCCATGCAGAGTGCCAGGAAACCTGCCCAAATATTGACTGCATCACCTGATTCTAATTCGGCTTATATCAGCCTGCACAGCGCCCCTGGGCATTGAGGTGGCACATGACATACGTTTTGCAATGGCTGCAGTCAGGAATCAGGGAGGACTCATTGCCAAAACACATTCCGAGGGTTTGAGTGCCAATGCGACCCTGAGAGATTCACTCCAAGTGCAGACGACCCAGATTCCTGCCTGGACAAGAACGAATGCCGAACTCTGTCTCTGGAACAAGCGTGCTCGTGCGAGAGATGTGCGTGCCACAACTACTTCGGTGGATACGAGTAAGTACCTTCCAGCTCTGCGTCTCTGCGGCGCTGTTTCCAGCTGCATCCAAGCTTCTTGTTTAGGCGCAAATACTCTCAGATTTTGCAAGGCCAGAAGCCTCACCCAAACCTGCGCGCACAATGAAATTCTATGGGCAAACTGGACATCAGGCAGTCGATGGACTGGCAGCCAGGCGCACTAGAGCGGGAACAGCGACCACTTTATCGATGGCGTCGTCGCCCCTTGCGAGGGTGAGGTGAACGCGGGGTTTGGGTGCCCGACGAGCCAGCGAACAGACAAATTGTGAATGGCAATGCGTAAACGTTCATTGTGGCCAAACGTAAAAATGATGATATGCACACTTGCAGAAGATAACTTCTGCTTATTTGTGACTAAATACATGAACGCAAATATCGTAATCTCAACGTAAATATCAGTTATTTTAGCAACCCTGGCAATGCGGCTACTGCGGAAACTACCAGCGAATTTGAGAACGGATTTGGGCGTCACTCTGAGAACCAACCTCTCGCTTAGAGGAGTATCTCCGGGCGTCTGTGGCACTATGTGCGAGGGGCTTGCGGATGTGGCGTCAGATTGAAACGGCGCACAATACAACGGTGGTCCAATGGCCTGTGAATGCATGGAACACATGTGCAGGCACGAAAATGGAGTCAGCAATTGGGCAGGTGATTCTCGCTGCGCTCAGCAAACATCGGCGTTGCTCTGCAGGTGCGAAGAGGGCATACCGAATGTGTGCGCATCGACAGCTGCTGGGTGCTGGAATGCAACCATCCATGGAAAGTTCTATACGGCTTGCGTAGACAACATCAAAGAATACAAGGTGGGAAACTGCCTATTCATTCAGGGTGATCGTGCCTTATGGCGCCATCGCTTTTCTTGTTACAAATGTTGATTCATAATCAGAACGTGATTCATAAACAGGACAGGCTGGCGCACCCACTGGTGCTCATCGCAGCATCTGCGCCAGGAGAGGGATCGCTTCATGTTTGCCAATTAAAGGCTTGCTCGCCTCCAAGGAGTTGCAGAGTAGCAACCCTCGATTGTTGCCCTCACAGAAACGTCTCCCACGAAACACCTTTGCAACATCTTGCACCAGCTTGATAATAGGCTTGCATTCATGGCGACAGCTTGGTGCTATGGTTCATTGTTAGGCGGCGTCTGTGTTGGCAGGAACTTTCCAGGAACGGGGAAATCCCAAAACTGACGGATGGGCAGTACTCTCATGACACAATCCACGCATGCAAATGTCCGAGCGGATTCCGCGACGATGGAGGCGGCCGCTGCACTCCGCTGTGCAAATCTAATCCGGATGCTTACCTGGAGGGAGCGGGCTGCGTGAGCATGGGCGGTAGAAAAGGCAAGTCAGTGTGTGCGTGCAACGGAACCCAACCTAGTGTCCAGTTTGGTTGGAGTCTCAACGCGACAAAGGATCACATCATTAAGAAGTGCTCATTGGGTACAAGCAATCAGATATTCCAGTATTCCAGTATTCCAATATTCCATATTGTGAGAACTGTGTGGCTCGTATGTATGATCGGATGCGCAACATTCTTCTAACACCACAATGAACAATCAACAAATCAGTCCATCAGTGAACGAATGATCTCCTGCAGCAAGAACTGTAGCGTTGCAGTTGCGCCGCCAGAACACAGGCGCAATATTTGTTCCTCTCCAGCTTCCCCGCCTTCCACAGCAAAGTGCATGTGTTGCGCTGTGTTCTGCTAAGTTGCATTGCATTGCAAAGCACTGGCTTGCGTTGGAGACACGCATATAACACGTTGCTGAGCGTATTGCATCTGCATTCAGTTCTATGTCGACGCCATATTGTGTAGACGTCTCAGCCTTTCCGTTTATCAGTGTGTGGGAAGGCGCATCCCTCGGGCTCTCCGACAAGCGGATTAATTGCGAGATGGCTGAATGGTCAGCGTCAGCGCAAGAATCTACTCGATGACTTCCAACACCCGCCAACCGATACGCGGTTACTTGCACTGGACACAGACGAAATGTGCGCGGCTACTTGCAGGGGAGTCCTCCCGTGGAACCTTTTGCTGATCTTCGTTGTTATTTCACAGATGTGGCTTCAGTAGCTGGCTGGATTTTGGCTTCAGTCGCGGGAACCGCACTTCTTATGATGTCCATAAAATGTCTTATGGATCACCGCAAGAAGGTGAGCGCGCAGCACACATGCAAACGCTCGACCGAGGCATGAGGGACGACAGTTCTTGGTTCTGATGCCTAAGTTTCTTTGAGCGAGCCTTGAGTCTAGGTCTCGACCCATCATGCGCTTATCCAAATGGGCTGATTTCGGCCTAAACCTACCAGAAAGCACCTAATCGACAACACCAACGCATCTGTGGGCAGCCTGAATGTTGATTCAACTATCGATCACGACTGTTCCCCAGTGCTGTGAGTAATACCTGTCCGAGCAGGTGTTGGACGCTGGACTTCACCAGAAGCTACTGGGGCCCGATACCCCTATCGGCGCCGCTCAGAGCGGAGATGCACCCAACAACATGGAAGAGAGCCAGAGCCCCGCCATACAGGCGCAGCGGCTGGAGATGGGAGACATTCCGCAGAACTTGCATTTCGAGCGCCTTTGAAGCAGTGCACTGTGGTTCGTTTGATATTTAGCCACTGGACACGATGCATTAGGATGGACGAGCATCTGCACCACCAGGAGTGGTCCTTTTGTATATTTACGCTGTTGCCATGGTGGCGCAAACCAGGGGCGAATGCCACTCGTACGTGGGTACTCATCCAACCAGAGAGGACGTTGCTATTTGAGCTTTTGTATACTTTGTGGAAATTGTGGAGGTGCGCCATGGGCGTAAGAAATTTGTATTATGTAGGAGCTCGCTTGGGATATGAGTGGCGGGTGGCGGTCGCAGTTGGCGTCAAATTGGAGTTGAGTTGGTGGGCGGACGATCTGTGGCAGGTTTGTGTTGTCCACAAGTCCGGCACATGTTGGAAACAAGAACCATGTAAAATAAATTCAAAACTTCTTGCCCACCCGCGGAGAATGGCCATGATTTTGGTGCGATTGCGCATTGTGCCTGGGCGGGGGGCTGTGGCGAATAGACGCCC